CTTCCTCCCTTCCTTTCTTCCTTTCTTCCTTCCTCCCTACCTCCCTCCCTCCCTCTCTTCCACCCTTCCTTTCCTCCCTTCCTTCCTTCTTCCCGTCCGTCCATCTTAAACCTAATTATTCCATCATTTCGTCACGTCTTAATTATTGTTGCAGGATGTGTTCTGTGGTTATGATGATGACAAGATATTCACTTACATATTCTACAAGGATACAATAACCGGTATGCTGCTAGTATTACTATAGATCCTTTATTAAGCCACCAGTTGTTGAAGAGGGTTTCTTACACAATTTTGACCAACATCTCAGATTTAGCTGCCATTTCAATTGTTCATAACACATTAACAATCAGCTGATAAATATCAATTGACACCACGCCCATCCATCGCTACATCTAAACGTAACTGTGTTTAAGTCCAAGTTAAAGTCGGGCTGCAAGCAGGCTACGCCATGCCCTGCAATGTTTCAAGGAAAAGAAACGGGATCTCGTACGTTGTGATTGGTTCTGCCCATGTTGTTCGGTACCGTGATCGTGCAAGCTGCTTCATAGGTCTTTTCTGAATTCAGCATGAGATGCGTACTGTTCTAGTTTCACAAACAGCACATACAAAAGCAACGCGCAAAATTCCAATTCGTTGTTTCAGGGTTCGAGCTATGAGTTAGCCGTGCCTGACTTTAGATCAGCCCAGAGGTATTTCAGGGTTCCATCTGTGAGATACTCGTTCCCTGACTTAGATCAGCCTAGTTGTTTCAGGGTATAGTTAACATTTGATATGTTGATGGTTAGACACCGTGGTTTTACCTCATCACTTCAAAATCTAATTGAATGATACACTCATTCGGCACGTATTTTTCAAACAGGACCCCAGTGTATCATGGCTGGAACTACTAAACTTCCTTATGCACAGAAGCCCTTGATGCTGTACAATGGAGAAATGACTTGCCAAACGCCAAGTGGAAAGGTACTATCCTCTCTAACAAATAGATCGAGTACATTGTTTTCTCATTTCAAACCATTTGCAATTCCCTTCCGTAACAGGGGATCGGCACTAGAGTTTTCTAACACGCGGGACACAGGTAGCCCAATTCAAGATTTTATACTTCATGATTTTATTTTTCTCCAACCCCCACCCAGCCTTCCTGCCATCCCAAAGTCGATCGGCATTTTATCCTTAATTTCCAGGTTTACTCATTCTAAAGTAAGAATTGCACTACACAACTTGGTCTGAAATGAGAAAACGTACTCTCAAACTGCCTAGGACTATCAAAATAGGTTTATTGTTTTCATTTGAAGAAGTGGCCATATGCCATTCATGATTACATTTTATTTCTAACTCATTCTTCGCCAACAGACGTCCAAACTGAGCCTGTCTACCCATTTCTTCCACGAGAAGCCTCAGGATTTACCTCAAAGTGAGGTGAGCATAAATTATTATTTTTTCCTGTTTCAAATCTTCCGCCTTTCGCTGTAACCTCGTGGACATGGTAGAGTAGTTTTCTCATGACTGTGAAAAGCTTAGTGCCGTAAGCGTGCCGTGCCGTGACCGTTATGGTTTCTAGGATTTCAATAAGCTGTTTTTTCTCGCGCAATGTGATTGGTCTGTCAGTGCCGTGACCTTGGCGTGACCGTGTCCGCGCCGTGTTTATGCCGTGTTCCAGGTATTTGATTGGATGGAGAGTAAATTATCGACCAATGTGATTGGTCTGGCGTATCCCTTGTCGTGTAACGACCGTGTTTGTGCCACGAGCTTTTCACAGTCATACGAAAACTGCTCTATTAGTGGGCAACGATACGGAAAATTCGGAACCATTTCTGACGGCACGCGTCGTACATGTAATTAAACGATTCACTTAAATTGAGATTGTTTTGGCTGTAATACCACAGGTAGCCCAAGCTATGCATAGTTATGTTTCTGTCAAGACAAATTTAATCAGTTTATTTTCTCTTAATTGCAGCTCAAGACATGTTTCAACCAGTGCATCACCCTGAAAAGGTATGTTCTATCTAATTTTACAAGTCTCATAAATTTTACAAGACGGGTTTATTTTTGATTTATAGTTTTATCATGATGGCCGCGTGACAACTTGAATTTTATTTTCTGGTAACAAATTCTTTTAGCTAGATCCTATCATCCAAATCTTCTCTTTTAACAGTGTCCTCTCACGTTTAGATGCGCGCGCAATGTTGAGCGAATGCATGGTGTGTTGGCTTTTTATAAATATCGGGTAGTAACCATTGGTCTTGCTCAAGCGGCAGCCATCTTCACTGGAACAATAAATTTTTCCCTTCGTAGCGTCGCATTCAAAATAAAATTTTGAACAAAGAAAATTTTGAATAAAGAAAATTTTGAATAAAGAAAATTTTGAATAAAGAATGTTTTGAATAACGAAAATTTTGAATAACGAAAATTTTGAATAAAGAAAATTTTGAATAAATTAATGCGGGTTATGCATGAGAATAAGCGTGGCTGCGTCTGCCGCGTGAGTAAGGTCCATAGAATTTATGTGTTTGTTCTTGTTCAGGTTTAAAGAAGCATGGTCCATCGCCAAGACGCTAGACTCCAAGCTAGAGTGGGTAGAACTGGCCAAGAAAGCTGTCCAGCATTTGGACCTTGAACTTGGTACACATTCACCTTGCACTTCTTTTCTGCTTTTAACTTTAATAGGGTACGCCCCTATTAAACACCCCCATCCCATCGCCACCTTCCCCCATGACCAAGACATATAGACGATGATAGAATAAAGTATAGGTAATAGGACTACATGTCTGTCCAATTTGGAAATAATTGGATGAAAAAAATTCCGAGGAGCGACAAAATTGGAAGAGGCCGATAGGCCTCAATTATTTTCAAATTGGACAGACATGTAGTCCTGTTGCAGATTAATTATATCATTCCAAACTATGCTAGACTGTTTTCATAATTCATAGCTTTTCCTCGAAAGAATGCGAATGGAAACGATCCAAATTAATCTTTGATTTGGACAGGAAAGAGAATTTGAAAATAATACAATAGTTGCTTATATGGGATTATGGAGTGATGATAGAATAAAATATTAAATTGCTTAAATGATTGTTTGTTTGTAGCCATCAAGGTGTACCGAAAAATAGGGGACGTGGCAATGGTTCTGTCTCTTGAGAAAATCAAGGTAAAGATTCTAAAAACCATAGACCGTCCAATCATTTACGGAGCTCAAGTTCATTTTTAGCCAATCAGATTGCTCGAAAAAGGCACCGTCATGGTCGCGCACATTTCACGACAAACCTGCTCTAAATTAAATGCAATATACCGCGTACTCTATGCTAATATTTGAAGCATTATATTTCAGGGGTTGGAAGATAAGAACCTGTTGTCGGGTTACGTTGCTATGTTTTTAGAAGACTACAGTACTGCACAGGTAACTAGTAGACGTATATGCAGTCTGTTTGTTCTGTGAGGGTATCAATAATCTAGTATAACTGAAAAAAAACCCAGCAAAACATTAGATCTGCCCTGTGTGGTTAGCAGCAGTAAGGGGGACTCGCGGAGGGTGTCCCATATCGTCTGTGTATTACTTGGCACGGGTAATACACAGATGATATGGGACACCCTCCGCGAGTCCCCCTTACTGCTGCTGCGGTTCTATGTGGGAATCAGTACAACATATGATAAACCAACTATTTTCTTTTCAAATAGGACTTATTCCTATCGTCATCATACCCGTTAGCCGCTTTAGAGGTAAGTTGGTCTGATATTTCCGTAAAGTTTTCCCATTTCAGGCCATATGCCATGCATTTCAGACCATGTGCCATGCATTTGGCAATAAATGTGTTTGTTTGCTTGAGTGCATAGAAATGAACCCTCTGAAACAAAAAAATGATTCTCAAGGGAATGACACGAGGTCAGAACTGGGAAAACATTACTCGTATTAGGTCTGTTGTCCCATTTACGTATTGCATTTATTCAATGGCCACATTTTGATAGGGAAATTAGTTGAGTCTGTTACCAACTTTGTTGAACCATATAAGCCACACTAAACATTTCATACCAGGTAACATTGTTGTTTGAAAGGATTATTCCTATTGATTCAATTATTTCAATATTTTATAAGGCTAACACAGCACGATTTTCATTTTCCTAGTCAGGAGTATAGAGTTTCACGTCCAGGGAAACCCTCTCTCTGTTTTACCAAAGTTTGTATCGCCTGTTTCATGATTATTAATTAGTATTATTGCTAATAGATGAGGAGAGATCTTCTTAACTGGGATCAGGCACTGGAGCTGGCTAAGACCTTGGCACCAGAACAGATTCCCTACATCTCTAGGGAATACGCACAGCAACTGGAGTTTACGTACGTTTTACTTGCCTGTGTGTTAATATTGTCTTTTGATAGAGTCTCTGTCATTTGCCCTCACCCAGCAGGTAGTACTGAAGGAGCATTCTAATCACATATTTCTCTCTTTGTCCTTTGATTTGTTTTGTTTTGTTTTGTTTTGTTTTGTTTTGTTTTTACGAATGCAAGTCTCAAGATAATATAATCGTCCAGTAAAGTCTATTTTTCATTTCCATTTAATCCAAACTCGACTCTTGGAATCCAGAATTTCAAAATCAGGAATCAATTGTACTAAATATTTTTGCATTCTTGGGCGAAGAGCCTCTTGATCCAAGCACCCGTGGGAACATCGAGTACTTGACTATGATTATTGATATGCAATATGTTTATATTTGAATTTTCAGTGGAGACTATGCTAACTCGTTGATGCACTACGAGAGAGGAATAACAAATCTACCTCAGGTAAGCATAAACTAACCCATCTTCAAGCTACATGCGAACTGGTTGTCTTCAATTCATTGTTTTCTCTGAATATCTCAATTTTCCTTCCTCTGTATTAACATCGATATAGTGTGGAGTGAGTTTAGAAAACCAACAGGAAAAGTCTCGATGAGGAGTGTACGGATCTAAAAATATGATCGATGACTGCTCATTATGAGTCTTTCCTGTACCCCACTAGTCAGAGCATCTGACCGGTATCCAGAAAGTCATGGGTTTAATTCCTATCAGGGACTCTGATTTTCTTTCTGAATTCCTTTCATCTTGTGACAAATGATAAATTATTTCTATACTTAATTCATAGCTAATAAATAATTCGTCATATATTATAAACGATGCTGTGATTTTCGTAGGAACGGGAACATGATGAGGCTTGTCTTGGCGGAATGGCTCGCATGGCTATTCGAGTTGGGGACATAAGAAGGTACAAGGAATCAACTAGATGGGAAATGGTGACTGACGTTTCCACAACCTGAGCGAAAGTCATCTTCAGAGTCCAGGGGGAAAAGGACTCTAAAGATAACTTCCGCTCAGGTTGTCGAAAAGGTTGTGTTCAGAGAAGATACTCTGATGTGGGATAACAAAAATCTGCATTCAAAAAAGAAGCTTGCATGACTTTGCTCTACTGCCTCGCCCTATGATAATTTATTATCTGTAAATATGATTCAATGGGTTTTCGTTTATTCTTTCTTCATCTGTAGAGGCGTTCAACTTGCAGCCAAGAGTCCAAACAGACATCTTAAGAAAGAATGTGCAGCTATTTTAGAAAACATGAAGGTAAGTAAGGCAGCGTTTGTCAAAACTGTTTGTAAAAGATTAATACACAAGGTATTGAAATGAAGTCAAACGTCTGATAACTGTCGGACCAGCAGCATCTATGTAATCGCACACATGCATTACCAACTTACATATAGAGCATGTGCATGCATGTTACCTCATAGCCGCCATCTTGGTTGACGATAACAAAGACATGAAGTCAAACGTCTGATAACTGTCGGACCAGCAGCATCTATGTAATCGCACACATGCATTACCAACTTACATATAGAGCATGTGCATGCATGTTACCTCATAGCCACCATCTTGGTTGACGATAACAAAGCATTCATTATTACCTTCTGGTTAGATCAACCAACATGGCGGTTGTTTCTTTGTTATTTATATCTCAAGGTATTTGAGACACATGGTTGCACACACTGTATACGTCATATCCTATGTATGTCGTGTAAACTTTGCAAAGGAATTAGAGCCTGCAATTTCCAAAGTCAGCGGTTTATGCATTACCGACTATCATATAGTGACATACTATCTACATCGTGTAAATTTTGCCCTTGAACTAATCAGAGATATTATTTCAGCAATACACAGAGTCAGCGGTACTCTACGAGAAAGGGCAGTACTGGGACAAGGCAGCTGGTGTTTACATGAAAACTAAAAACTGGTAAGACGAGATTCTGATTCCTGAAATTCAAGCTAGCTGTTGCTGGTACTTTAAACATTCTAATCTTATTCTTTATTTTCTCAGGGCAAAAGTTGGTGAACTGCTTAATCACGTGACATCACCCAAGTTACATGCCCAGTATGCCAAGGCCAAAGAGGCTGATGGGAAGTATAAGGAGGCAGCTAGAGCATATGAAGCGGCTAAAGACTATGACAATGTCATCAGGTGAGACAGGCGTACTGGGGGGTCATGGATTGTAGATGAGACTGTTTCTGCGCAGACCCAGAACTAAAACCGACTTGAGATTGTGATTTATAACGAGTTGTCTTATAATTCTTTTTCAAGTTTTTTTTGGTTGGTTGGTTTGATTGATTGATTGTTTGTTTGTTTGATTGATTGATTGTTTGTTTGTTTGTTTGCTTAACTTGAGTCTTGCTGTGTTGTGATGATGATTGGCTAATGTACGACTAACATACGACTGGCGGGATCAGTAATTGAACAGCAGGGTACTTTGTTCTCAGTTGCATTTCCTATTCTTTTCTTCGTTCTTTTTTTTCCAGGATCAACCTCGACTACTTGCAAAATCCAGAGGAAGCTGTACGTGTTGTCAAGGAAACCCAGTCAGTAGAAGGAGCCAAGATGGTCGCCAAGTAAGAACTGATTTTCGATTTACAGTTATTAAAATATCACAATACAGCTCTATTAGTCAATATCGTTGGTTGCGCACATCTGCTCTTCATGTGTCCATATTTCATTAATTTACGTTTATTATACGGCAAGGTGATTTCAAGTTCTATGATTGGTCAATTTGGGTTCCATAATATACGTTACAAACTTGGCGTTCTTATATTAAGAGAGTTTTAAATACTTGTGATCTCGTTCATGTGTAAGTTGCTGTCAATTTATCACCTTTGCCTTCTCTTTCCGAACAGGTTTTTCCAGAATCTCGGGGATTTTGCCTCTGCCATTCAGTTTCTCGTGCTCTCCAAGTGTAATGACGAAGCATTCCAACTGGCACAAGTACGTTGTATTTCATAGTTTTGCGCCGATTCATTCCGTCCATCCCTCTCTGACTTTTGAGCGTATAGGTCCTAAGGTCCATGTGGGTGCTTTAATGAGATTGAAACCCAAGAAGCCTTTTCTCAGTTAAGGTGCATTTTAACACTGCCTCTTGTTATTTTTACAGGCTCACAATCAAATGGAGCAGTATGCGGACATTATAGGTAATTAGAGGCCCAGTGAACAACCTATCATTAATTGATACCAGTGCACATGATATTTATTAGTTATCATGAAATAATTGAGATATGACGCGCGCCTAATCACATTAAGTTTATTTCACGAATATTAAACGGCTGCTTATGTCTTTATACTGTGATATAAACACTCAAGGAGCTGTAGAGCACTTGAAAAGCAAGAGAAACACATGTCTACTACTCGTGTTCCTAAATTTTTCACCGTTTCACCGTTTTAACCGTTTCACAAAGTAAGCATTGTATTGTAAGGAATATTTCAAAGCCGAGAAAGTATAATATATGGAGTAGCCTGCGGAGGAGGCTATATAGTATTGTAAGCATGGTATATTAGAAAGCAAGCATTGTATATTGTGTAATAGTTTAGTATCGTAAGCATGGTATATTAGGGAAGCAAGTATTGTAAGCATGGTATATTAGAAAGCAAGCATTGTATATGATATTGTCAATAATGTAATAGTATTGTAAGCATGGTATATTAAGGAAGCAAGCATTGTATATGATAATGTGTGTATGGTATGGTATTGTAAGTATGGTATATTAAGGAAGCAAGCATTGTATATGATATTGTGGGTATGGTATAGTATTGTAAGCATGGTATATTAGGGAAGCAAGCATTGTAAGCATGGTATATTAGGGAAGCAAGCAATGTAAGCATGGTATATTAGGGAAGCAAACATTGTAAGCATGGTATATTAGGGAAGCAAGCATTGTAAGCATGGTATATTGTGTGTCATTCCAGGTGATGATGCTACCAAGGAAGACTACTCCAGCATCGCTATGTACTTTGAAAATCAAAAGCAGTACTTCCTGGCTGGAAAGTTTTATCTGAAGGCCATTCAACATGCCAAGGTTAGTTGTGACGATAAACATACATGCCGCTGCAAGGAGTGAAGTGAGAACATCCTATACCAACAGTTGTCCACCATCGATGCGGTGGGTTATGATGTGATGTCAGCTTTGACGTCATTTCCTGCGTCATACTATTCCACAATGCGACAAATATATCAGTGAATTTTGGTATTCTAGTCCGTAATTATCGTATATAACATAAATATTTCATCTTACAGGCTTTGAAGCATTTCCTAAAGTGCCCAGTGACAGATGATGGTGAATCTGTGGAGCTTGCTATCGAGACTGTGAGTAATCTTTCTTACTGGGTTACAATCGACCAAACATCTAGAGACAATACAATAACTTTATAAACAAGCGATGCGCAATAACTTATTACAGTTTTCTAACTTTCGGCCCTCAGAGACTCTGAGTAACTCCCCTCAATAACTTTGTAATGGTTGTTTGATCGGTAGGTTGGTCAAGCCAGTGATGATATTCTCACCCATCAACTGATTGATTTTCTTATGGGAGAAACAGACGGTATTCCTAAGGTAAGGATCTGCGTATCCTATAGCTTGGTATAAGTTCCAGTTTAAACGTCAAATTTCACATGTGCTGGATCTAATGCGAATGAATTCAAACAATCAATTTTGTTCTTCTGCATTAAATTCGACATATGTGATAGTAATTCTGTTTAAACTGTACCTTATTTGTTCTGTCCACTTTTGCCCATCTCAAGTTGCCTGCCGGAGAAATATGGAGACCAAAATGAATAGCTATTTATTGTATGCCCTTTAGGATGCCAAATATCTGTTCCGTCTTTACATGGCCCTCAAGCAATACCGTGAGGCAGCGCGCACCGCGATCATTATCGCACGTGAGGATCAGAATGCTGGTAACTACCGTAATGCGCATGACGTTCTCTTCAGTATGTACCAAGGTGAGACCATTACTCTTTGTTTTTTTTTAACGACCAGTTAGTTAGTCAGCCAGCCTGCAAATCATTCAACCAACGAAACAACCAATCATTCAGAACTATAAATCACCCTTCCATTCGTCCATCTCTTCCTTCCACTATCCACCCAACCGCCCACTGATCCATCCATCCGTCTGTCCGTTCCACCCATCCTTTCTATCTCTCCCTTCCACTAWCCACCCAACCGCCCACTGATCCATCCATCCGTCCGTCCGTTCCACCTATCCTTTCTATCTCTCCCTTCCACTATCCACACAACCGCCCACTGATCCATCCATCCGTCTGTTCATCAGTCTATTCACCTATCCTCCCATCTCTTTATTTATGTTGGTATTTTCCTATCCTTACAGAATTGATCCAACACAAGATCAAAATACCTACTGAGATGGGCCAGAACCTGATGATCCTACACAGCTACATTCTCGTTAAGGTACCAAAAAAAAAACGGTTTCAAAAGAATTTCTCCAGCACCCAACACGTCGTTTCCCTTGGATAAAAAAAGGAAACACTGGCATTTTTCATTTATCGGTCTTTTCATGTATGTTTATGACCTTGTCTTGCGTTTTTTTTCTTTTAGCTTCATGTCAAGCGCGGAGACCACTTGAAAGGAGCTCGTATGCTAATTAGAGTGGCCAATAATATCAGCAAGTTCCCTGCACGTAAGTCTGTCAATCACGGGAAGCGCGTGAGATCTGCACTGCTAAGGCGATTCGGGTTAGATTCCCAAGCTCTTGTCGTATGTGAATAGAGTTGCTTGTTGGTTCTCTCCTGTGCTTCGAGAGTTTTTTCTGCAGGTTCTGTTTTTCCTCCCTCCCTTGTGAAGTGAAGTTATTGCGCGTGAATGTAAAGAAAGGCGTTAAATCTTTACTATTTTTTTGCAGACATCGTGCCCATCCTCACGTCCACTGTGATCGAGTGCCATCGGTCTGGTCTGCGTAATTCTTCATTCAGTTAYGCAGCCATGCTCATGCGTCCTGAATACAGACAAAAGATTGATCTTAAATACAAGAAGAAAATCGAGCAGATTGTCAGGTATATAACGTCCAACATGCATCACAATGTGATTATCGCACAGCACAGATTATCTGAACAATATCAGCATAGTGCATGGGTATGGCCCCTGCCTCAATACTTAAGTATTTATATCTGGTCCAACCTAAAAATACATATGTGGTCATGAATAATGTATGTGAACTCTAAAATATTGGTGGCCCTTCCCATGAAAATAAAGGGCAAAAGACGTGGTGACCGTGTTGGTTGACGCCAAGACCAGATATTTTGTCAAAAATGGACCAAAATGGCGGTTATGATGTCACGTGCACCCCTCATTTACCTTGAGCTGATGGACTGACTTATGAACTACAATAAAGTCTTGTTATCTTGAACTTGAGCGGTCGGGTCCTGTGGATTTTCATCTCCAGTTTTATCCAGAATATGATATCTAATTCCCTTGTTAAGTTTTGAACCTTTTCCTAGGTCAGCCCCTAGGATGTTTACCTTTTTATGCCCTTTTTTCGCTCCCTGTTTTCTGCTCCCCCTTAATTCTTCAGTCTAATGTATGGGTATTTCTTGTGATTAGAAAACCGGACAAGACCGAAGAAGATGAGCCACAAGACCCATGTCCATTCTGCAACTATGAAGTACAGCAAACTAAACTGGACTGTCCAGATTGTAAAAACACTATTCCATACTGCATTATCACGGTAAGGATATGTTGTGTGATTTGGCAAACAAGGGCTACACGCCGTGCCAAGCATGGGCATCACGGTGGTGCATTGTCATACAGTATTCTAACTACCCAATATATCTCTGGGATTCAAAAAACTGAACAATTTCTTTGAAGAAGCCCCTGCCAGCTGAGTTAACCTTCAGTACAAACTCAAGGTCAACCAATCAGAATTGAGGATTCAACATCATATTTTGATTAGCATTTCCCAGGATTCTGCCAAGAGGACCCATGAAATATGAATTTTTCATTCTTTAAATTCATCGTAAATGCTACTTGTGGTGAAATTCTAGTTCTATCGACAAGAGAAATCTACTAAAATGTTAACCAAAAATAGTTGCTCCCTCTTTAATAACGCAGTCAACTCAGCTGGCTGTTATATGTTCATATAACTTACATCATCAAAACTATCTGTACATAGGGTCGTCACATGCTAAAGAATGACTGGAGTATGTGTCCAAACTGTAAATTTCCTGCTTTATATTCAGAGCTTAAAAGGTGAGAAGGTTTGTGTACTTAACTAAACTTTGTGTACTGGAAGTTATTGATGATATCTTATATTACATTTTATTTCATTAGTCTTCTTGAGTCTGGTGAGACTGTGTGTCCCATGTGCACTGTGGTGATGGTTGCATCAGATGTCAAACACATCAAGGATCCATCTTCTTTCTTGAAGCCCACTGATGCAGCAGATTGAAAACATTGTTGTTCACTTATTTAACCAAGGCAACACATTACTCTGTATATATAATCAAAGGATCTGTTTTATGAACAAATCTTCAACAATGACCTTTTTTTTTTGATAATCCACCTATAGACCCCTTGCAGCATGTTGGAATGCAGCTCAATTTGGAGGATATTACAATCGGCTTTCAATTCTCAGGAGATTGAAATTCTGCTGCTTTGATGTCACATGCAAGGGGTCTCTAGCTTGAATTATGTTACATGTGCATGTAGATATTCTTTAAGTGCATTCTTTGTTGACCATATTTATAGTATTAGTAAGGTATAAGCGACCTTCACATAACATGCACTTGAAATGCATGTTGTAAATGGTTAACAGCCAAACCAGGTTGCAAATAAAGCATCACTAAAGTATTATGACACTGGTCTGCATAATCTTCTCCTGCCATAACCTTCATTTTGCAGTTCGATATTTCCTGAACTTGATTAGCTGAAAGATGACTAAGTCAGACATTATAAAACCACTATTTCTCCCTGCACACTTCCGAGACAAGCTCTCCACTGATCAAAGACATAATCTCACGGATCAAATTTGAATTCACTTTTTTGATGGTAGGAAGTTCCCAGATCCCCGAGTGAGAAAGACCACCAAATCAAGGTAGAGACCTAACAAACTCTGAACATACTGACACAAAGATACCCAGTGCACTACTGCTACACCACCCTTCATTTTTCCTGTCTATAAATGCTTCTTCACTGGAGAAACAATAAATGATCACAGAGAAAATATCAAAGAATCTTTTATTTTGTGCATTTAACATAATTCTAATTTATATAAATTACATGCAACATCTGTACACTGTTCTTATAAGATTAATGTATTGATTTTTCTAATAATATAGCAGGACCAGTTATACAGATGTTGCTTCTAAAAGCTTGGTACAATGTTTCTGTTCTACACAATAACAGTTTTCATCACATGCTGTATTTCTATACCATAAAAAGATGTAAGGCTTAGTAAAGTTTTTTTTCATATGAGTGGGAAAAACTACTTACTGCGATTCCCAGTCACACGCGACCAAGTGAGACCAAAATCACAAACGAAAAATTGAGTTTTTGTGGACGTCAATCAAAAGGGTTTCTTAAACATGTCTAAGGATCCCGACTCCGAATTGCAAACGTTTAACTGCAAACTATCAGTATTGACTTATCCTATCTTGAAGAATTTTTGCACATTTGCATGTGTTCATGTGAGTATTCACATCAGTCCTGGTGTAGAAACCAATAGAAACAATAGAAACCCTTTTGATTGACGTCCACCCAAATTCAATTTTTCATTTGTGATGAAGGTCTAGTTGGTCGAGTGTGACTGGGAATGGCAGTAAATCATGGCGAAGGTCATAATAAAAACATTACCAACAAGTTCAATGCATTATTTCCCTCTCATATGAAATCTATACTCTAACTAAATCAAGACATAATACTGTCTTACATTATCACAAGAGTAGCCATGTTGGATGATATGGTAGACTGCATTCATTAGCACAATGTGATGCATCATGGGATGCCTTGGGTAAAACTGCTGTTATGTTACGATATATCAATCACAGGAATAATATATGAACAACAGATTTCTTTTGAAAAAGATATTTCCAATATGGCTGCTGTTGTGGTTAATGTACATGTAAAATCTCTAATTCCATCAGCTAACAAAGAGCATTACTTTTGGCAAAAAAATCTTTACCCAGACTAACAACAACTCAAAAGAAATAGGTTGCCATACTTACAAGTTTTGGACTGATAAGAGTTACTAAAGATATTGTGTTATGAGAATGGAGAAAAAAACCCATGATTTTGAAAGAACATTTAGAAGCTCTAATTCCTAGTTCCTATTTTGTACAATACACAATGTTAAATTTCTATTGAATGGACAGATAATTTAGAGTCGAAGGTTGTTTTCTATTCATAGTGAATATATTTGTGTGAACTTAGTATAGCTATCTAATGAATTCCAATCAATGGATGGGCAAGAATAAAGGAGGTACTCAAAGATATTCTCCTTCGTTCATTAACTGCTTCGATGGGGACAAACTAGAACCTTTGGAGCCCTCTAGAGAGCTGTAGCCAAAGATGGCAAGGTAACAGCTTGATATACTGTTACCAGTTATCATTAATGCTATTTTGAGTCATTATTAACAGTTGCATTGAAATTAAATTAAAAAAGGATAATAAAACAGGGTTCTTAGTAGATATAAGCAAAAGAGAGCGAGTAGATAATGCTGCATGTTTGAATGCTAAGTGTAAACCACTTTAACCTTGAGGGAGAAAGTTTGGGAAATCTAAGAGGAACCTAAGCAGACTTTATTATATGTAGTACTTATTAAATCTACTAAGGACCTCAATAAAAGGTATGCAAAAGAGGTAGCAGTTGTGGTAGATAAGTTAAGTAGCAGGCCTACACCAGTAAGGCAAAATATGAATGACATGCAAAATGGCTACAAATGTTTGAATTACAGTAATGTAAGTAACAAGTTTGTAACCTTTTTGTTTTCCTTGCCTTTCAGTTGTGGACCTTCAAGATTTCTGCAAATATCATCATTCAACAACGACCATAAAAACATCTCACTTCAGTCTGTTCCTGGAACCCCACATGTTAAGAAATTAAGTCTTGTTCTCTCTTGCTCCATAGTTTTTGTCCATTTTGTTATTGACTCCATTTGACGCTTCATTTCATTGTACCATATCCCTATAGCTGTCGATTTCTTCTTACTCTGTTTCATATTACATGTAACTCCAAGTAATCATGTTGAATTTCAATGGATGCTTAATATGATCTTTGAGCAGGTTTCCATAGATAGATTTCCATAGATACCTTGATAAATTTATGTAGATTTGTACAGTTTATCATAATTCAGAGACAGCGTCAAAAAGGTCTTATGTCGTGACGTTTATTGGATTAGATATACTGAGAAAGCCATCTGAAACCTGCAGGTAAAATGAAATGGGAATCTTAGTAAAATAACCAGGATAACAATATTTCATTTTCTTCCTATTTCAAACCATCTACACACAAAATAAAATATTTTAGTGCAGCATTATAGGCTTACCTTCTCCGTATCCTTGACGCTTAAGAACACTACACATAAAGAGTTCTATTGGCCTGGTACCCAATTCTTTTGCTCCAACATTTCCCTAAGAATAGAAATCAATTTAAATTTGAAATACTGTTCAGAGTTCACTAGACTTCTAGCTTAACTCTTATCATCTTAACACACCTTTACAGAAGTATACAAGAACAAAGTACATTAAAATTTAGCTATGTACATAACTCAGAAGACAAAATTTACTTCAATGACCAACAAATATTGTTTTTAAGCCAAGTTGGACATACAAGCGGTTTATATACTGGTATTTTACCCATATTATTTAATTGGCCATTCTAAGGAACTTTAGGCAAGGACTATCAGCTTGATCAATGCTAATAAATGATAAAGTTTCTGGGCTCTCATAATATCCACTAGATACATTTTGATACATTTAGTTGTAAACACTAACCTTTCCAGTGGTCTGTCCATAAAGACCAAAGAATTGTCTAATGTAGTCTTCACTATAAGCACCAGGAAGATCGATTTTGTTACCAAGGATAAGAACTGGACATGAGGATAATTGTTCATCTGCCAATAAGCTCTGAAATAAGAATAGCAATTCTTTAATTTTTTTACTCTAAAAATGTGCTCAAGGTTATATCACTTCCATAAGTTGTCTGTACACTAGTTTAGTGTATACTGGTTATACACCTGCTAGTTGTTTAATTGCATGCAATTTAATTTATTTTAAAAATTTCATTTGGCAATTTAACTTTTTATAATTATTTTAACTTCATTATACCATTTAACAATTGTTTTAACTTCATTATACCATTTAAAGAGGCAAAACAAAAGCCCGTCAAAATATATATTCACTAGTATCATAGTGAAGTCACTAAATCTTTGAAATAGATATTAGACTAATATACATTGGTAGGCCCTAATATTCTATTGTTTTCCTGTGTCTATTAGACTAATATACATTGGTAGGCCCTAATTCTAACGTTTCTTATTTTACAGGTTAAATGCCTTCATTCTACAAAGCAAAAATTCATTTTCTTCTATATAATAATATACTAACAGATACAAAAAGAGACAAAATGCTTCCAATGAGAAGAAAAACATAGCTGCTATGAAGATGATCTACTTACATCCAATTCTCTTTTTGATTCCTCGATTCTTTCATAATCAGCACAGTCAATAATAAAGACGATACCATTAACAGCTGGAAAATAATCTTTCCATATCCGCCTGGCTTGTCTGTGACCACCCAAGTCAAATGTTGTAAATCTCATTCCTCCTATGGCGAGCTCCTCAGATGCTGAAAAACAATAACACATCAGTCAAAAAAATGTATGTGATAACATCTGCCATACTTGGAAAAAGTTTTATTCCAATTTGAATAACTCTCTATATAGCATGAAATTTAAAGCAGAAATTAGTGTAAACTATAAATTAAGGGTTCATCATCCAATGGAATGACAGTTTAACAGCATGTAAACAACAAGGAGCAGGATTAAACAAGCACTATTTAACCAGGAGTAAAGATGCCAGTCTGATCTAAGTGCAGCAGTTCTCCTTTATATACATAGCTGATCATAGTCAATGCAATGACATAACAGCTGAAGATAAATAGTATTGACTAATGAAAACTTTTAAAGAATTGGCAGAGTACCAGCGAGCTAGCTTGCTCAGGAGCAGAGTCATGTGAGGAGAGTTGCTTGTTGGTTATTTTCTGTACTTTTTTTATTTTTATTATCCGGTTTTTCTTAGTCCACAAAAATGTCTAAATTCTAGCTGAATTCAGTGGACAAGACACTGCTAWACCCTCTTTCTACATGTAACTTAATAAATTCTGTTAACTGTCTGGTATAGTGTTAAATTATGATCAAAGGAAGGGATGGACTTGCATAAGGAATGCCAGAGATCCTTTATTTTCCTCAGCATTTAGAGGATTTTTTCCAGAAAATTCATAGTTATATAGTAGAATGAACTACTCACTTGGATGGAGTGTTGGTACATGTTGTGCCATACGATCATCCTTTAACATGTGCAATAATGTCGTTTTTCCTGCATTGTCTAAACCAAGGAATACTAATTTACCAGACTTCTTATATAAACCTGAAATAAAAAACACATAATCAGGAACAATTAGAACTTCAGAATTTTTTTAAAATATTTTCTTTTCTTTTAATTATTATTATTATTCATTATTATAAAATAACTATACATTTCAGAGAAAGGACTCTACGTCTAGTCAAACTCTACATTACATTTTTTTTAGGCAATCAATGGGAGGTAATCATTGAGCAAGAAGAAGTGCATCTAATAATAAACACTAGTATGATAGACAAACAATCCGAGCTACAAAGTTATGCAACCCCCTGACTTTTGACTAAGTGACTGACCTAGATATCCCAGTGCACCAGTGAACCAATCCCACAAGAACATTTTGAAGTAAAACCTAAAAAAAAAGAAACATAAGCTGAATAAAACATATCGATAGAAGCCACATAATGTTTGATGTTATAAAATCATTTCACAAGATATACTCCTTTAGCATTAGATATGTATCCTTAAAATAACTATTGTTAATGAATCTAAGTCATATGACGGCTATGTCTTAAAATCTGACAAGATTAGACTAAGTTGGGCATAGAAATATTTTTTTCTCGTCAATTTGAGTGATTTCTTGTCGAAACACAAACCAGAATTTTACTGGTGACGTGACATCATTGCCACCCAAAATGTATGAGCAGCCTTCTATAGCGTCCAAAAAAACACAAAATATACAGTATACCCTTTATAAAATGCGTTAGTTTGTAGATAAACAAAATATATCGAGATCTAAAGGGCTGGGAAGCTAAAAGATAACCTAAATAGAATCGCCGGTAATTTTCACAATAAAGACACGTAATGAAATAGCACAACTCGCCGGGAGTGAACCTCAAAATTCGGCTTCTATTTCGCACTTCTGTCCATAAAATCTGAACACAAACCTCCTATACACAATATTCAATCCTTCCACTTACCTAATTTAAAATATTTTGTCCTATTATAGTAAAAATATGCCTGTAAAGTTGAAAGACTTTTCACTTTTTAGACTTTACACGAGTACTATGGACTATGGTACGAGTCCCGGATGTGTCAGAGTTGCGCAAGCGCGCCACGTATATTAGATCACACAGCCTCTCTTTGATGTGTGCTTAACGTCACGTCTAGTGAATGACGTCATATGAGTGGGAAGAAAAAAAGTGACACTTTGGAAAGGCAAGGATCAGTAGTATTGAAAAATCGTTTTCTACAGATTTTGCATTAAATAACTTTAGTATTTTCAATAGCTTTTTTTCTGTTTGAAGAATTTGACAATGAGTGTTTGAAAAATTAATCGAAAGACTAGATCAGGAATGTGGCATTGAAATTTCACATGTGCTGCATTTATTCTAGCATGGCTTTACATGCTGGGTTAAAATCAAAACCTCTATAGTGTCTGCTTCCGGAAAGTTCTTACTGAATACATTTACTCGCATGAAGTGTTGTTTACGTCGTCCTTGTCAGTAGTAGTGATTTCGAGCAATTTTAGCGATTTTTTTTAAAATCTTCACTTCCCCTCTAAATATTAGCTTCTATTTTTTTTTCTTCTTCTTTCTTCTTTCGTTTAATAATAAATTACATTCAGTTCTCAACTTGTATGGGCTTCCTGTGATTGAGCTAACTTAAATATTTTCGACGCTATACTTTTTGCACTTTAGAAAAGTACCTTTTGACCAAGAAGCACTCGCTGTGCATATTGCGAGAGATGTGTCACGCTTTACGTCAATTATTTATACTTTCTCAAAAACGTGTGAAGAAGGGGCAGTCATGCCGTACCACCCCACCCTACCCTGCTTTTCTTGTGTATGTATATATATCCCAGCATGCATCCAATGAGTCCCGTGACGTCATTCAGAACAAGTTGCCAAGGGTAAAGATGGCTTCCTCGGTAGTGAAGTAAATAACGCTCTCAAAAACTCTGCTAAACCTTAATATTCTAACCCCAAAATGTGTCTAGACAGGAAGAGGTAGTAAAATTAGAGACATGGGTGCCGGTGCAAGCGTTTCAAGGCGTCAATGGGAAACAGCTGATTCGCAAAACCAAGAAAGAAGCCACGATGAATCGCAAAGTTTGCCTGTCAAAGACATGGCTGGGATGGCCAAGTTAATGGAAGCTAAGAACAAGTTTATGAAGAACAAAAAGAAGAATGCGGCGTGTTTCCAAAAGGAGGTACATGATATAACATATCTTACTTCTAGCTGTACCATCCGTATCTTTCAACAGGTCCTGTAAGCTTTAAAAGTCTCATTACGTCTTCGTACAATATTGCAGTAAGCTTTCGGCATTGATTTGTTCTATGATATGTACTATTTAAAGCTTACATTTTTTACTGCAATATGGGTTTTATTTTCAACGAAAAATATTGGGAATGTGTGCTCCAAATTCAAACCACCATTATCTAATGCCTTTACCACTTCTCGGTGGACGACGTACGTAATGCCTGGCAGGTTTTGCAACACAATTGATAAGGCAGCCCATAGATAGAAGTTGATTTTTGTGGAGGGAGTTAAACCTGGAGAACTGAGAGGAAAAACTCTTGAAGCACTGGAAAGAACCAGTGAACAACTCCACTCGCGTATGACACAGTAGGCCTCAAACCAGGGTTACAATGGTGAGAGGTGGCGTATTAGCATTAGCAGCACACATCATCTGTGCTCCCCCCCCAAAAATAAAGTCTTGCATAAGGTTGGGRGGGGGGGGGGGGGAATAATAAAGGTACTTCCAACTTACTTTAGAATTTTGTTTTACTTTTTTCCAAAGCTTGCAAGTACTGACCTGATAAAAGAGATGTTCAAGCGCATGAATCCAACCATAACCCAAGCAGATAGTGGTGACATCAAAGGTGATGTGGAACTGGCCTTAAAGTATAACCACAGGGAGCAGTTATTACTTGTAAAGGTTATTCGTGCCAGGGACTTGGTTGCAAGGGATCTGAATGGAAAATCTGATCCTTATGTGGTTCTTGATCTTGTTCCAGATAGGTAAGGATCTACTGAGTTTTGTACTTCTCATAAATTTCTGATAAATGTCCTGTCACCCTTTCCCAATTGAATACTCTAGTTTTGAGTTCTCTTTACTCAGCCTTAGTCTATGAGAGACTAGGAAACTATAATGAGAGGATGATAGTTCCACACTTTCTTTCTTTTCTTGTTTCTACAAACTACACAACATTTATTGAAAAGTCTGGTTTTTCACTTCTGTCAATCAAGAAACTTCTGATGCAGACCTTTGTAAATTTGAGGGATGGGAACCAAAGTATAAACTAAGTGTAACACCAGGAGATGTTAAAATTACATAAAGATGAAAAAGGCCTATTCTGAGTTTGATAAACATTGATGCATTTTGGTATTGATGCAACCGCCACCCGATTAGCTCAGTTGGTAAGAGCGTCAGTCTGTTGTGCGGGAGGTTGTGGTTCAAGCCAGCACTCATGGTCTTAAAATAACTGAGGAGAAGGTGCTGCCTTTGTAATAATATCTAATATATCACTCATGATTGTAATATATGCAGCCCGTAAAGTCCTCTGCTGCATYGTAAAGCGCATTGAGACATTGTAAAATGCTTTATAGAAGAACCCCATTATTATAGTTTTGGAACAAATGTCAACATGATAGAAGGCATGATGGAAAAAAAACATGTTTGCTATCATAATAATGATCTGTAAGCAACTAATAAAAGACTGAATTATTTATTCTAAAATTTGGCTACAGCGCTTAGAAAGCTACATTAGTTAAGTTATAATTCCCAATTCAAAGCTAATCCCAAGCATTTTTTAAAATTATTTTGCAGATTTGAAGAAGGCAGCAAAAAGACTAGATTTAAGCAGAAGACTTTGAACCCAGTTTTTAATGAAATCTTTCAATTCAAATTGTCTCAAGCTGACATGGCAAACACTAAACTCCGTGCAACAATATGGGATCATGATTTCTTTGGTGAAGATGATTTTAATGGTGAAGCTGTTGTGGACCTGTCTAGAATCTATCTTAACTCTGGGACACATACTGATTGGTACATGCTTCAGCTCCAGGTAACCATGGAAACACTGCTCACTCACCACAGCACAGCACATTAAGACTTAGTAGACTTGATACAAGTTGTTCACTCTTTTCCTCTCTTGCCAATAGAAACAAAATTTGGCTCTATGTACCATATTACAAACCACAGAGTAACAATTGGGTGACTTATTTCCTTTACAGGGGTTCAATTACCTTTTCATGCTAAAAATTTTTCATTGGTAGTTTGATATAATTTATTCACCTATTGAAAAGCCTTTCAGTAAATTTGGCACGAAGCAGAAATAAAAAGTCCTTAAGCCTGCCTGAGTAGGGCAGATACATATTAAAGGACACACACAACAACAGTTGTATGCACATGTGAAAAAATTTATTGTAACATCACTCTACTGCTTTTTTGCTCTTCAAGCCTTCAAACCCAAGCAAGCAACCCATAGGAAAGCAATGTATTTTATTGTATTATTATTATATTATTTGTCATAGGCAAGGGTCTTTTTTGCTAACTCTATTAATGACTACTCAGACAACTAGAAACACAAATATAGCCCAAACTTCTGCCCAAACTTAATGAAAAACTTTTTTTAGCTGTTGGTTTTTATTAGTAAATATAATAAGTAGTTATTCATTGTTGTTACTTCTTTTTTTCAACACGTAGACTGATTTCAGCATCACTGGTACACTTGATGTTACTCTAGAATACCAAGATCCAGACACACTTGTCTTGACTGTCAACAGTGCAACGAACCTAAAGCCATCAAATACTATTACTAATACATCAGACAGCTATATTAGATGTTCAGTGTCAGGATTGAAATACAGTGAAGACACCAGGGTAATCCTAGTTGCAACATCTACCATTAATGACCACTAAATATGTCTTAGTTTTATTTGCAGGGCTTAAAATAGTGGCTGATCAGTCACCAGTCATGATCACAGGCAAAATTAGTTTTAGCTCAGTCATACCACATTTCTGGCTCAATGATACAGGTCAAAATGACCAGCAAGGCAAAGATTTGACCAAACAAGTCTAAGTTCTGGCCAGACATTGTTCGATGTCCAGCCACTATTTTAAGCCCTAATTTTACAATGTTTGCTGGTTAATAGACCCTTGTCTTGGGCGTAATGTTTTCCCATTTCAGACCACGTGTCATTCCCTTGAGAATAAGATTTTTGGTTGAGTTATATCCATATTCATATGTCTTCTCATGCGCAACCAAGAGCAATCGCTAAACAAAGAAATGATACTCTAGGGAATGGCACATGATCTGAAATGGGAAAACATTAATGCCTGCCGGAGGAGGTTTGTTATTAGTCTCGATGAACATTATTTCTTGCATGTTTTACAGTATTAAAAATATCAGTGAATTGGTCAGTAGCAAACATTTTAAGTTTTCCATATTGACAACATAAGCAGTTGTACCTGCCAATCATGGGTTGGGCACGCTACTAATGCTTCATCTTTCACCACTGTGGTTACAAAGATTTGGGTCACTGGTTCAAGCCCTGCAGACACCATATGTGAATTGAGTTTGTTCAATTCATTGTTCTTTTCCATACAATGATGGTTTTTTCAAAGTATCCAGTCCCCCCCCCCCCTCCCCCATAAAAATCAACATATGAGTTGAGGGTTGTATGCATAGAATATCAAATGTGGTGTGTGTGAGTGAAAAAGTGTCCCCAATTACATGTAATGCGAAAGTACTAGAACGACTAGACACAATCGGACAGTATCACTGCTATGCCAAATTTTTGATATTTTTTCTCTTACCAATATTTTATTAAGGTTATAAAAGACACACTGAACCCAGTGTTTGATGAGACTTTTGAGTTTGAATTGCCAAAAGAAGAATTATCATCAAGGTAAAGACTATTTTGTTTTCTTCAGTGAAATACCTTATTTGCCGTCAAAACTCTGTTATTAACATAACCTGTATATGGAACATCTTTATTTTCCTACCATCCTCTTCCATCCTCTACTGTCCTCTACCATCCTCTTCCATCCTTTTCCATCCTCTACCATCCTTTTCCATCCTTTTCCATCCTCTTCCATCCATTTCCATCCTCTACCATCCTCTTTCATCCTCTTCCATCCTCTATCATCCTCTTCCATCCTTTTCTATGGTGTATTGTCCTTTTTCTGTCTCCCTATCCTTCCATTCTGCTCCATTCCCCTCCATTTTTTGTAGACAGCATCCCATGTTAGATACATGTGCAATATTTATTTCCACACTCCACAGGTCAGTACTGTTACATGTATTTGGCAAAGCTCTTATTGGTGAGGACATGTCATTAGGTCAGGTTCATATTGAACTTGGAAACCTCGACTTAGATGATGAAGAGCCTTGTAGAAAAGTTCTGCCCTTGGCTGATCTGGTAAGGATTTTTTGGGGGTGGGGGGGAGCATAAACACAAAACCTTCAAATCTTACCTATATACTGTACCCTGAAACAACCTCTGGACTGATCAGGCACGGATAACTCACAGATTGAACCCTGAACTAACAACCTTTGGGCTTATCAAAGTCAGGGCACTGCTAACTCACAGATTGAATCCTGAAACAACCTCTGAGCTGATCTATGTCAGAGCACGAGTAACTCACAGATTGAACCCTGAAACAACCTCTGAGCTGATCTAGGTCAGGGCACAGCTAACCCACAGTTTGAATGAACAACCCCTGGGCTGATCTAGGTCAGGTCACAGCTAATCCACATTTTGAATTCTGAATATAACATTCCTTCTCATCCCATTGTAGAAAAATGCTTCTCTGAAGCGAGCAGAATGGGCGCAAAATGCCGTAGCGCAAGAGTTCAGAGAAGCCATGTACGCCCATGCTATGTATAAATATCCCACTTTTGTTTACTCTATAAAAAAGAAAGGAAGAAAGGTAAGTAGTTCGCGAAATAATGCAGTCATTCTTGAACACTTGCTGTGCAGTATATTGTCGTAATTGAGCAGTTTTCGTATGACTTGGAAAAGTTGACGGCACGAGCACTGTCGTGACTCGGCAAGGCATATACCAGACCAATCACAGCGCGAGTATTTACTCTCCATCCAATCAAATACCCGAAACACGGCGTGAATACGTTCACACCAAGGTCACAGCACTGCTAGACCAATCATATTGCGCGAGGAAAAGAATCAGCCAATTCAAATTCAAAAGAAACACTCAATACTGTAATGAAATGGAACTTGAATTTTAAGAGGGGTTTTGCCCCACCCCCTCCCCTAGCAGTTCATGAACTGTCGCATTACGTTACGGCACCGTATTGGGTGAGAATTGGGTGGATATTGGATGTCTAGTCTAACAAGCAGCTACAGCCAATACCGCCAAACTCTTTTATAAATTGGATCATGATTTAAAACAAGTCAAGATGGCTGTTGTTGTTTTTTTGTTGACTTTATCACTCTTGTCTTTTTCAGCTTTATTCGGTCAGTAGTCGGAATGCTGGTTCGTCTTCCAAGGTTTTCCTTGTTAATGGTATCCCTGTATAATTACCATACTGCGCACAAAACGTTAGTATATCTAGTCTTCTAGTCTGTTGACGGTATCCCTGTGTAATGACCACACTCCCCGCAAAACGGTATCCCTGTATGATACTACCTCTACATGTACATATATATATCTTATGTGCGCAAACTGACGTTAGTACAGCTAGTCTGTTGACGGTATCCCTGTATGATACCACCACTACATTTACATATATATATCTTATGTGCGCAAACTGACGTTAGTACAGCTAGTCTGTTGACGGTATCCCTGTATGATACCACCACTACATGTACATATATATATCTTATGTGCGCAAACTGACATTAGAACAACTAGTCTGTTGACGGTATCCCTGTGTGATACCACCACTACATGTACATATATATATCTTATGTGTGCAAACTGACGTTAGTACAGCTAGTCTGTTAACGGTATCCCAGTAAGATTATCACTACTATATGTACATATATATATCTTATGTGTGCAACTGACGTTAGTACAGCTAGTCTGTTGACGGTATCCCTGTATGATACCACCACTACATGTACATATATATATCTTATGTACGCAAACTGATGTTAGTACCGCTGGTCTGTTAACGGTATCCCTGTATGATACCACCACTACATTTACATATATATATCTTATGTGTGCAAACTGACGTTAGTACAGCTAGTCTATCGACGGTATCCCTGTGTGATTACCACCATGTGCAAAACGTTAGTACATCAGTAGTACTTTATTTTCTCTCGCAACTTTTATTTTCTCATCTAAAAAATCCTAGAGCGTACAACATGGCCTAATTTTGGCCACTGATTGAAGAACTTGCACACACGAGTAACCAGTGCGCACATTGTAGCTCAGCACGTGCTACTTAATCCCAATTGGTGGATCACTTTTCCTAGCATAAATAAACATAATTATCATAGTCACCTGTGTGAAGACTAGGTAAATGACAGAAAATCTACAGTGACATTTGAGGAAGTGGGTTTTCCCAATTACCAAGCATCAATTCCTTGTCTAGATCAGTACCTAAAACCACAACAAAGAACTACAATCAATGGCTTTGGTTTTTACGCTGATTGCCTAGCCTAAATATCATCTCAAGTTACGCCTGGGACCTTGTTAAAATTCTTTTCTCACGTATTAACGAACTAAGTTTAGACTTTAAGCCACTGAGAACTGTTTTGTTTTGTTTCAGAGAAAAGTAATTTATCGTAACGTACACTTGTTAACTATTCGGGTGACTCTTTGTTTAAGTTCAACTAGTGTCTCAAAATAGCTAGAAATTCGCCGCTTTCTCGCCGTGTTTTCAGAATCGAAAACGAAAGAAATAATCTCTGTGCAATCGATTAATAGTGAGAATATAACGATTACTAAGACGGTGCACGTGTCGCTTATCCGAAATGTTATTCCGTTGCGCTGGGTAATCCAGTAATTACGCCACTCCATCTAGAAGGATTACCAGTTGGTAATCACTTTTGTTATGATGAATACTTGAGTGTGTGAACTTGTGTTTACTCGGTCAGTCAGTTACAAAGCCGCCGAAAAGCTCCTCGAGAAATGAATTGGAATCCAAAATTGGTTTTACCAGTATATTATTATTTGATTAAAAACAGTCTTTATTTCAATTTCATTTGTTTTTTTTCACCTGTTCCGTTTTGTTTGCTCAACAACAAAACGTCGTCCGCTTTAGGGTGAAAAAAATAGTTCCTTTTAACTGACGTTATTTTGTCTTTTAATCCTTTGGGAGTGATCTCGTATGAATGGAATTAAACCTCTATGTTCCGATTACTTCCTCTAGTTAAAAGCCATTTAATTAATGACGAGCAAACAAGTTCAGGACCGTGTTGGTTTAGCAAGAACAACGTCTTGTACAATGGCCTACAGGTTGTCCCTACTCCTGGACTAATCCAATTACCAATCTAAATAGATTAACACGTTACTACAATAGCAAGTCGTAGTTTAGAATTGTTTACAGGCACTTGGATTACTCCTAGCAAATTAGATCCGTATGGAACAGAAAACCGAGTGAGAGAATACACAAACCCCTTAACACTTTCTTCTTTGTTTACTTTCCAAGCACGTAGAGTCAAAAAAGACCAACAGTTAGAGAGATTAAAACATCTGATATATGTCTAGTAAAAGAGGAAGTAAAAACAGAGTAAACTTCAGAAGACAAATCCTTCTCTTCTTGACGATTTATTAACTTCATGGCATTTGCATTTTTCCTTTTTTTTTTTTTTTCTGTTTTCTTTTTTCAAAAGTAATTTTATACTTGGCTTTTGATACGGTTCGAAATAGAGAGGAAAACGTCAAAAACAAAAACTGTGGGAAAAAGGGGGGAAAATACCTAATACTTTGAAAATATTTTTTTCTCCGTTTCTCATGCATTCTTTTCTCCCTCGGCGAAGACTTCTAATTAACGGAATTCCTAAATCTTTACTTCATTATTCAATAGTCTTACTTCACAGTTCAATAATGAAAGTTTCGCTTGCCTTTTCCCTTGATGCACAACTTTTTTTTTAGTTTAACTTATTTTAATGGGTTAATCTTTATTTCATATTATTTCTCTACCGCCCTTTTGCTCTATTTTTTTTTTTTTTTTTTTTTTTTAAAAAAGGTCTTCTTTCTGGTTGACAGCGCATGGTGTTCGGTGT